GTTGTTTCGGTATGCGCGTTGAATCCATACGCCACACATGACCGATCCACCTCAGGTGTCTCAGTAAAAGTATGCAGTCCACCGCATTCATCCCACTTTGTCGCAACACTTCCGTGTCAGCAACTCTATCACCCCAACTGATGCGCAAAATTCGTCGCAGACACTGCTGATGGAACCGCTCGAGATATCGCACATCCCACCGGTACATCGTCTACGTTTCGTTGCCGTATAGAACGGACAGCACCATGGATTCGTACACCATCAGCTTCGTGCCAACGGTAAGCTGATGGTTGTTCCACACTCGGTACTCAAGCTTCTCCAATGCCGCCGCTGCCTTCGACACGCGGATACGCAGCTCACTATGTAGCTGCTGATCAGTCGACTTCACTCTCCCAAGGTAGCAGAAGCGGGAAGTGTTTTCCAGTACTTCAGCACCAACACTGATTCGCGGCAATATTGAAGATTGCACCTCCGGTGAAGGCTGCAAGTGACAGACAATTTTGCTTGTGTTGATGGTGAGCCCGAATTTCGCTGCTGTCGAAGCCAAAGCACTAGTCATGTGCTGAAACTCATCCGCACTGTGTGAAAACAACGCACAGTCGTCAGCAAACAGCAACATATGGATAGTTGTCTCACAGACTGGAGTTCTCGCACCGAAACGACGGATGTTCAGCAACCCACCATCAATACGGTGCTCCACACGAATACCGTAAGTACAAGCCGCATCAAAAGCAGAGGACAACATTGCATGAAGATATATATTAAACAGGGCAGGAGCTAAGACACAGCCTTGCTTCACACCAGAGACAACTGCAAAGTCATCTGAGGTCTCTCCACTCAACTACACCCTCGCTCGCATTCCACTGTGCAGACATTCAAATAAGTTACAAACTTACGCGGGCAACCAAACTTACCCAATACCAGCCACAATGCCTCGCGGTTCACCGTATCAAATGACTTGGTGAAATCAACAAAAAGCGAGTACAGTGATTGGTGTCGTTCTCTGCACTTCTCTTGCAACTGACGAGCCGCAAACACCACATCTATAGTGCTGCGACGCGAATAGAATCCACACTGCTCTTCCGCCACGTTCGGTTCCACAACCTGACTGACGAGGCAGTTGAGCAGGATTCGGGCAATCACCTTGCGGATATAGAGTCCTATAAACCGTCACTTTCTGTAGAGGATGTTGCGGTCCTGGATATAGGCGACGGGTTTGAATGACGGTCACTACGTCATCCTACTACCTTGGCGCAATCACGGTAGGTTTATGACCAATCATCTACCGCTTGCAGCAAAAAGATTACTGCGTCTGAAGCGACAGTTCGCTCACATTGTAGATTTGTTTCCTAAGTACGCAAAGACCACAGACGAAAACTTTTCCAAAGGATACGCGGTTAGGTTTCCTCCAGAACAGCAAGCGACAACATTTTCACCTCATTGGTACTTACCCCACCATGTTGTAATCAATCCCAGAAAACCCGATAAGTTGGGGGTCGTTCTGGACTGTGCCACTAAGTTCCAAGGCGTCTCTTTGAATGATCAAACATATCAGGGACCTGACCTCACTGCCAAACTGGCTAGGGTCCACTTTGTAAACAGATTTTCCCGTCTGCCCAAACATTTAAGCCTGCCCAACACTTGCATGAACTGTTCGTTACTGGCATTGCCTAGTTTGTCGTTTCACTACTCATCTTTCCCCTGTGTCTGATTTTTGCATCATTCCAGTCAGCGGCGTCACCCCCTGTTTGGGCTGCGTTCTATCCCGTCTACTTTTCTATTGTATCCCGCTCCACTGCCCACGTTTCGATTCCAATGACCTTGACATCATCCACTCGCTCGTGCGCCCGTCACTGTGCCGTGCTTTGCTAATTGACAGTTGAACTGCGTTCTGTCCTGCCTTATCCCAGGTTAAAAAGAAACAGTTGCTTGCTGAGTAAGAAATAGTACGACAGAAACGCCTTTAACTGGCTGAAAACGAAAAGGAAATGGTAAGATTACGTTTGCAGTTTGAAGGAGGTAATCACGGACAGAATAGTCCAATTGATGCCGACTGTAGCCTAGTAATAAGGAGTGTGGGGAGGGGACAGTTTATCGACGACTTTCATGAAAACCGTGTCGTATGCACCGGGGCGTTTATCCAACCCAGACCAAACGCAATTCCACTGTGGTTCACAATTGAACTTACCAAGTAAAATATTGGTTATAAGACGGTAGCGTTGCAAAATAATGCGTTTATCAAACAATTTAGGCACCTTGTCGAAAGTCCAGGGCAGGACACCGGTTCAAGTTTACATCATTTGGCTTGAAATTAACATTAAAAAGAATGACAACGGAAATCAGATAGATTGCCCCCAAAACCATTCACGCGCACAACGCCGGCCAGTTCAACGCAGTCAGTAGCGCTTCACTGATCGTCAGCTTCCTCGAGTTACCGTTAATCAGTAGCACTTTGAATACTTTGGATGGGTCCACCTCATGACCAGTGGTCAGGAAATGTTAACACTTCGACTGTTCTCAGTCGCAAACCCAGCACTAGAGAAATAAACTATGTACGACTAAAACGTAATCACATGGGTAAAATTGAAAGGAAAATTTATGACCACGGCAATCTGATAGATTGCGTCTGTTTCTTTTGCGCGCACAACGCCGGCCGTTTCACTGCAATCAGTAGCGCTTCACTGAACGCCAGCTTCTTCGAGCGGTGCTTAACCAATAGCATTCAAATGCATTTGATTGGTCCACCTGATGGCCATTCGTCATGATATGTTAACATTTCCACCGCTCCTTTTCATTTCTCAAATGCACTGGCTTTGCGACTGAGGGGAACAGTCACAGTTTTGAATATCGTGAACACTGCCATCAGATGGACCCAACAAAAGCATTCAAAGTGTTACTGATTAACCGCAACTTGAAATAGACTTCGATCAGTGAAGCGCTACTCATTGCTGTGAGCCGGCCGGCGTTTGTGGCGCGCGAAAGTAATTGAGGCAATTTGTCAGATTGCTGTGGTCATGCTTTTTCAGATAAAGTTTTACCCATGTGATTTCGTTCCATTGTGTACATAGATTATTTCTCAAATGTATTGTGTTGGCGACTGAGATGAGCAGTCGAAATGTTAACATATCTTGTCGACAGGCCATCAGTTAGACACCTCAATAGCATTCAAATCGATATTAATTAACCAAGACTTGAAGAACCTGACGAGCGGTGAAGCGCTACTGATAGTACTGGACCGTCCAACCTTGTGCGCGCAGATGTAAATGGGGCAATCTATCAGACTGCCATTGTCATGTTTTCTCATCTCAATTTTACCAATGAGATTTCACCCAACTTATACAAAGGTTACTTTCAAATGTATTGCGTTTGCGACTGAGGAGAGCAATCGAAATGTTAACATATCGTGACGAGTGTTCAAAATATGGACCTATGACGAGCACTCACGTCGGCTATTAATTAAACGCAATTCGAAGGACTGGCGACCAGTAAAGCGCTACTGATTGCGGTGAACCGGCCTGCGTTTTGCGCTTCAAAAGGAACTGAGGCAATTTATCAGATTGCTGTAGTCATGCTTTTTCAGATACAGTTTTACCCATGTGATTTCTTTCCAATTGTACGTAAGTTATTTCACAAATTTACTGCGTTTGCTACTGACGATAGCTTCAAACGTTTATCATATCATGACGACTGACCATCAGCTGTACCCATGAAATGAAATTCAAATTGCTATTGATTAGCACAACTCGAAGAATTTCGCGAGCAGTGAAACGCTACTGATCGCGGTGAACCGGCAGACGTTGTGTGCGCAAATGGAGCTGAGGGCAATCTATAACATTGCCATGCTCACGATTTTTAATTCTATTTAATCCATGAAATTTCGTCCCACCTGTACATAGGTTTTTCTCAAATATACTGCGTTTGCGACTGCGAATGCTAACATATTGTGACGAATGGCTATCAGTTGGACCCAACAAAAGCATACATAGTGCTAATGATTAACGCACTTCGAAGGATTTCGCGATTAATGGATCGCTACTGATTGTGGTGAACCAACCAGCTTTGTGCGCGCAAAGTAAACTAAGGCAATCTATCAGATTGCCCCTGAACATGATATTTTCAGCTCAGTTTTACCCAAGTGATTTTATCCAATTGGCCCCATATATTATTTCTCCAATGTATTGCGTTTGTGAATGAGGAGAACAGTCGAAATGTTAATATATTGTGACGACTGCCATCAGGTGCACTCATCAAATGCAAGCAAAGTACACTTGATTAACGGCAACTCGAGGAAACTTGCAATCAATGAAGCACTACTGATTGCCATTAACCGGGCGGCGTTGTGCGCGCAAAAGGTACTGAAAAACTATGTCAGACTGCCGTGCTCACGCTATTTCCGTCCACCTCTTACCCATGTGATTTTGTCCCAATGTTACGTAGGTTATTTTTCTCAAATATACTGCGTTTGCGACTGAGGAACGCAGTCGAAATGTTACCATATCTTGAAGAATGGTCAACAGGTGAATCATTCAAGAGCATTCAAATTGCTATTGATTAACCGCAACTCGACGGATCTGGCGAGCAGTGAAGCGCAAGTAATTGCGGTAAACCGGCCGGCATTATGGGCCCAAAAGAAATGATTCAATTTCTTTGATTACCGTGGTCTTGTTTATTCAGTTACCTTTTACTCATGTAATTTAGTCTTACTTGTAAACACGATATTTTACATATTTTCTGCATTTGCGACTGTAGAGAGAAGTCGCATTGTTAACGTTTTGTGAAGGCTGTCCATCATTCGGACCCATCAAAGGCATTAAGGTTGCTATTGAATAAACGCAACTCGAACATTCTGGCGATTTGTAAGGCGCTACTTATTGCAGGGAACCGGTCGTCCACGTGCGCGCAAAGTAATTAAGAAAATCTTTCAGATTACCGTTATCAAGACTTTGAATTACAGTTTTTACCATGTGATTTAGTTCCACTTTCACAAATATTTTTTTCAGATTTACTGCGTTTGCGAGTGGGAAGCGAGTCTGAAATACAATAATATCGTGACGACTGGCCATCAGGGGGACCCAATAAAAACATTCACATTGTTATTGGTTAACCGCAACTCGAAGAATCTGGTGTTCAGTGAAGCGCTACTGCTTGCGGTGATCCGACCTTCGTTGTTGTCTCAAATGGAACTGAGGCAATCTCTCAGCTTGCACTGGTCAATTTTATTCTGCTCATTTTTACAGATGTGATTCTGTTCCACTTGACCATATGTACTTTTTTAAATGTATTACGTTTGCGAATGACGAGATTAGTCGAATCGTTAGCATATCGTGACGATTGGCCACCAGTTGGACACTTCAAACGCATTCAAAGTGCTTTCGATTAACTGCAACTCACAGAAGCTGGCGATCGGTAAAGGGCTACTCATTAAGCTGAACCGGCCGGCATTGTTCTCGCAATAGTAACTGAGGCAATCTCTCAGATTGCAGTGGTCACCTCTATTCTTCTCAGCTTTACAGATGGGATTTCGTTCCATTTGTCCTTTAGGTTATTTCTCAAATACACTGCGTTTGCGGCTGAGGTGAGCAGTCGCAATGTAAACATATCGTGACGACTAGCCATCAAGTTTCAGTATCAAAAGCATCAAACAGCAATTAATTAACCGCAACACAATAAACCTGGCGATCAGTGAAGCGCTTCTGATTGCGCTGAACCGGCATTCGTATTGCGCGCAAAAGGATCTGAGGCAATCTGTTACCTTGCCGTAGTCCTGCTTTTCAGTGTAATTTCCCATGTGATTTCCTTCCTCTTCTAGATGGGTTATTTCTCAATGTACGGCTTTTGCGTCTGTGGAGAGCAACCGAAATGTTGAAAGATCTTAAACTGACCATTAGATGGCCCCATCAAAACCATTTAAATTGCTATTGATTAACCGAAACCCGAAGAAGCTGGTGACCAGTGAACCGGCTAGCGTTGTGTACGCCAAATGAACCGAGGCAATTTCTAAGACTACCGTGTTGTTGCATTTCAGTTCAATTTGATCAACATGAATTCCTCCCATTTGAACATAGGTTATTTCTCAAACGTACTGCCTTTACGAGTGAAGAAATCCGTCGAAATGTTAACATATCGTGACGACTGGTCATCATGTTGACCCATCAAAAGCATTTAAAATGCTATTGATTAACCGCAACTCGAAGAAGATAGCGATCGGTGAAACGCTACTGATTGCGGTGAACCGGCAGGCGTTGTGCTCTAAAATGGAACTGAGACAACATGTCTGATTGCTGTGCTCACACTAGCTCAGTTCACTTTTATCCATGTGGTTTCGTCTCATTTGTACATAGGTTATTTCTCAAATGTACAGCGCTTGCGACTGAGGTGAGCAATCGAAATGTTATATCGTGAAGACTGGCCATCAGGTGGACCCATCCAAACATTTAAAATTCTATTGAATAACTGCAATTCGAAGAATCTGGCGATCAGTGAAGCGCTGCTGATTGTGTTGAACTGGCCGGTATTTTGCGCGCAAAATGAACGGACACATTCTATCAGAGTTCTGTGGTCATGCTTTTTCAGTTCAATTTTACACATGTGATTTCATTCTACTTCTACGTGCGTTTTTTTACGTTTGCTAGGGCCGAGCAAAGCGGCGTTTATTTATTTCCTCTTTTTCCCCTGTAGCTGTTATATGTCAAGGCTATGCATGTTCTTTTTGAATTGCTTAGCCAGTACCATGTTGTTGCCTCTCGTTTATCGAATTTCTTTTGTCTGCTTAAGGCCTCTTTCTGGTGACATTGACGTCTTGTCTCTTCTCTCCATGAATTTGGACTGTCATTGGTTTGCTCGAAAGTCAAATGAATTTCGCCGCTGACTGATATTCTGCAGCAACTTTTGACCTGGTTTTTCGGGCCATGCCAAATACCCTACAGTCGAGGTGTGCACGCGTGGAAGTTTCTTTCGCTCATGTGGGACAAGACGTATCGGTTATAGCACTGACCGACTTTATCACTACAATAATACGAGTGGCACGTAGCACGTCTGTACAACTGCAGAACACGCGCACTCCTTGTTCCCAGAATGCCGCACAAGTACAACGGTCCGGTGACAACCGCACCGAACCTAAGTTCACCTTTTACACCTCGTCGGAGCAGCCCAGCGGACCAGAATGGCCAGCGTGCAACGAAGAACATGACAAGGCGTCATGCCTGACGTTCCTGTTTTCCGACATCCCCGATGGGTTGGTGCTCGTAAGATCCAACAGGGATGTTACGACTGCTTGAGACCATGCCATCTGGCTGGGAGCTGTTGAGATAGTAAGGGATGCAAACTATCCTCATGTAAAGGGTTGCACCATCCCCTGTTGCATACGATAAGAACACCTAGTTCTCCGCAGAATTCGTCCAACGTTTTTCATACAGCCAGTTCTGCTTTTGAGGAGGTCTGTCTTGTAGTAGTTCCGTTACTTTTGGTGGCTCCCTTGAGATCGGTCGTGACGTACGCTATGCTGTACAACGGTTCTGACGAAATCCTTGTCCAAGAGGACCTCTTACCAAAGATCGGGTTACCGGCTGATACTGCGCCCTTGAAAGTACAAACGCTAAGTGGGTTTGCATCTTTGGGCGCAGGTCATGCCGATTTCCGTTTATCGGCTTTGGATTGCTCTCATTCGGTTACAGTTGGACGAGCTTATAGGCTGAGGCGCCTATCATTGAACCCCGTAGCGTGCCCTATTAGCTAAATGGTGATCTGTTGACCTCATTTAGCTTATGTTTATTTTGCTTATATTGAAGATACTAGAGCTCGAATTCTTCTGAGTGCAGATGTCCCTGAAATCCACTGGCAGCTAGAACAGCGTCGTAGTGGTCAGCAACTTCCGTTCGCTGCGAAAAGCTTGCTAGCGTGGACGTTACTTGGGGCTTTGAGCAGTATCCAACAGCCTTTGTATGACGGGGACCCTGAAAGAGTAAACTCGGACAGCCGGTCTTTCTCTATAGACGATGAGAAAGCCATTTCTATCATTGAGAGTTCAGTGCGACTGGTAGGTGGACAATTGGAGTCAGTACCCACTTGGAGAAATCGGCGAGCGGATATTCCCAACAACTATGAGTCAAGTTGGTACCGACTGCAATGCTTGAGCTGCTGGTTATTGGCTAATCTATTGCTAGGCGTAAAGTATATCGAAACTGTGGTGGCGAACGTTACGTAACGTGCGAGCTTCCAGCGACTTCCGATATTTCTGCTGTGGACTAATGGACGCGACAGCATACCGTTCATATCAAATTTGACACACGCTTTAGTGGCTTACAGCTACAGCTCTACCGCGACACTTGCATAACCGGCATCCGCCTTATTGAATTAGTAACTTACGAACAGTACCTAATTAGACCGTTTAGTCGTCATCCAAAGGTTCCTGTCTACTTCAACACACATTAATCTTGGCTACAGTCAGCCAGTGAGGTACGTCCCCCCTTCGATTATATTTGAACGCTAACACGCACCCCACCATTATGACCCTTACTGAATACGCAAATTTTGGCGTCCGTTATGGGAATGCTTATGCAAGCCTTTTACTTCGAGACGTTAGTACTGGATCAGCAATGCCCTCGCGTGCTGAGCAAAAGAAAGTTGGTGCAGTTGGTTTAGATCTGCGCACTGCCTCAAAAGACTCTGTTGATGATTCCCTCGGACGAGCCGACCAGCAGTGGCCCATTGGTAGGGTGGCTACTCTTCGTTTGGTGTCGGTGCGCCGTGCAGCTGCCGCGCTGCAGAAGAGTTTGAATCCACGTTATCCATCTAACTCTGAGCGCTTTTACTTGCTAAATCTGCATTGCCCATCGGTCCTTCCGTATCGATTCCACGAGGGAGGTTCATTGAGATAACAGAGACTTTACCCGTCTCTGTAGTTTGGCCTGCCTCAGTAGTTACAGATGCTATACCTTTCTGCACTTTATGGCGCTATTCCTCCCTTTTGGGTATTTGGTCACTTTGCTACGGGTCAGAACGGAACGTTATCCAGAACAAATCGCATTTAAGTTCTACAGATGAGCCCTATCCAACCCTTAGAGATGATGTCTTCGTTTGGTTGAACGTTAGTGCAGTTGTGAAAATCAAGTGGGAGACTGGCGATACCCCTAATTTGGTCAGTACCTTAGGTGTGGTAACAAACGTAGTCAAGAGCAACGGATAGCCATTTGAATCAGACCTGCGGAATTACTTTTTGTTAGACTAAAGTGACATGGTGAGCAAATAGTTCCAGCTATTGGCTCCCGCAATCGGGCGGCGGATCTTCGGGTCAGCTACTCCTGGTTGGACCACTGTGAGTCCAACGACCAAAGCTGGAGTAATCAGGCGTACCGGTGTAATTCTTGTAATGTCCCATAGTGAATGGAGCTGCGGATGGGCGATAAGAGCAGAAGCGAGTAATAACCAACCGCTGGAAAATCTGGGTCGGATTTTGGGGGCAGTGTAATCGGAGTTTCCCGTCTGTCCAAACATTTACGCCTGCCCAACACCTGCATGAATTCTGTTCATTACCGACATTGCCTAGTTCGGCGTTTCACTACTCATTTTTCCCCTGTGCCTGAGTTTTGCATCATTCCGGTCAGCGGCATCATCCCCTGTTTGTACTGCGTTCTATCCCGTCTACTTTTCTATTGTATCCCGCTCCACTGCCCACGTTTCGATTCCAATGACCTTGACATCATCCACTCGCTCGTGCGCCCGTCATTGTGTCGTGCTTTACTAATTGACAGTTGAACTGCGTTCGGTCCCTCCTGCCTTACTACCGTCTCTCTGCTCACCTACCCCCAGTCAGTCAAATTTCAGTTCCAATGACTTTGACATCTCCCACTCACCCGTGTGTTGTGCTCCTGGCACGTGACGTGAGCTTGCATTTATCCGTTGGTCGGCGACCATATATTCTCAGTGGTCATATTATACGATCTGTCTGTACACCTTTACATGTTTCCCAGTGCATGGGTGAGAACATTTGTTGCCTTTTGGTGCACTGGTCCGCCTGCGGATTTGGCTCAAAGATTGCTTTTATATAGAAAGATCACTTGGTGCATTTGAGTTCGGGAATCGTTAAGATTTTGCCTGTTTTTCTATGATTACTTAATAGCACCGACATCTCGGTTCCGGTTTAGGTTGTTGTTGGTTTCCCGAAGGACACGCGTTGCTTTAATTCCGAAGCGTTTTTGACACTTACACGCCTACAGTTTCGCAACTATCCGGTAGCCCTGGGAGCCGACATAGTAGAAATATTTAAGTAACTCTTGGTGCAAGAGAAATTGCGGAGTCTTACGCTTCTTGTGTTGGCCCGACCACGAAACTTCTGGGTTACCAGTTGAATAGCAACTTATTGCCAACTCATTCGGAGCGATTTTGTTGCAGTTTTGCGCTATATACGCTATTCATAAGACAGCAGTTTACTTTGGTCACTCCTGCGATACTCCTGTAACACAAGCAGTTATGAACAACTTATACGTGGACGGACACCGCATATTAGCAAGCAGCGTGGCGGAAATAAAATATTCGCGGAACAGGCTTGCCACTTGCTTGGTAAAAATATTGTTAGGCTACGGAAATGTGTATCTAACAAACCAGCTGCGTTAGAAACATTTCCGCCGTCTAAAGTTTTCCGTAATATCAAGGAGGTTTCCGATGGAGCAGTGGTAAACGAGCAAAGGTTCGCTATTGAATGGTATGCCATGTCCGACCAGGTTTTATTTCTACTCATGATCCAGAATGGACAGCTAACTCGACGGGGTATTTTATCTTCCTTATCTCCCGTTTTTACCCATAGTGCCTAGTGTCTCTGCCCGTGAGAAAGTAAGAATTTCCCGGAAAATCCATAATTTCAGCGATTAATCGATTGCGAAAGATTATCGCATCAAGTTCAAATATTCTGAAATCTCCCAAGGTCTACACTTGACCACGAACCATCCTACAGATTGGGCAAACCTGTGCGGAACAACTAACCTTGGTAGCTGACCTTCTAATTCTAGAAGTCAAAGATTATGCGACGACCATTGGCGATGACCATTGGCTGCCGCTCCTGTGCAACTGCGGTTAACGCATTATTTTGAGCAGGGTCGTTCTGACCTTTTTCTTTGTTTGACTTTGAGGTCCTGCGAAATAGGTTATGTGTGTGTTTCAAAATTGCAGCAGGTGAGGAGTTTTAACAAATGACGAGGGACATACCCGGAAAGGCGATGAACTTTGTTATGTTGAAACTGCAATTTGGCAAAACCTCAAACATCACAATGATTTCCAAGAGCAGTTGAAAGCACCTAAAGAGACCAAAGATGAGTAAGTATCAGAGGATAATCCACAACGCATCCGGAGGTGTACTCAACCTAATCGCTTAAATTACCTGCACAATGGCATTCAACGGTGTGGCAGAAACAGGGACGGTTTATATGTCAGACAAGTGCAATTTGAATCTTCTTGGGCTACATTGAATTGAATTGAGGCGATTGTTCGCTGTTTCACTGAATGAGGCTTTGCATTAGAATTCGAGTGAATACATACGCTCCAACGAAGTCGGTCTAAGAGATAATACGTTTGCTGAAATAAAAATTTGACCCTATGTTTCAGGATGGCCTGGGAAATTGTACCAGATTCACAGCGATCAGGAGCCAAACCAGTCTTTACAGCCAAACGTCCGGACCCGTATACAGCGATGCCAATAGTTGAACAAGATCTGGAGCGACTTTAACGAACGGGCGTCCTCACACATGTAAACCACGTCCCATGGGCGGCACCCATTGTCGCAGTAAAAAATAGCGAATGGTAAAGTAGGCATCTGCGCTGATTTCTCAACTGGTTTTAACGCTGCGTTCGGCGACCACCAATACTCATTGTTGTTACCGGAAGACAGCTTCGTAAAATTAGTTGATGGCAGGTGCTTTGCTATGCTTGAGCTATCTGATCCATTCCCTTAGGTAAATGTTGCCGAGGACTCGAAAGAGCTTTTGTCGATCAACACCCACTGTGGGCTGTACCAGTAATACCGCCTGCCTTTTAGCGTAAAAATGACCTCAGCCATTTTCACCATCTGATGCCTACCATGTTGGCAGGAGTTCCTGGAGCCGCTGCATACCTGAATGACATTGTCGTAATGGGCCGGACAACGGAGGAAATATTTGACCGCTTAGAAGGGGATGCTTGGTCGTATCTAGTCTTATGGTTTCCGAATTCGTGAAGACAAATATAATTTCTTCACCTCGACTATAAAATACCTTGATTTTATCCTTGAAAAGAATAACCGGCAACCAGATCCCACAAATATTGAAGCCATAAGGAACATATCTCTACTAGCATATAATCAGTCTCTACATTTCTTCTGTGGTCTCATCAGCCACTACAGCACATTTTTGCCTGAGTTACATCGCCTGCGTGCGCCGTTGAACAGGCTTCTGACCAAATACCACCCCTGCAACTGGACCCGAGAGTGACAGCGCACCTTTGAATGAATCAAGTCACTTCTGGCTTCAGACTGACTCATTACGAGCTAACTCAGATCATTCTCGCAAAAGCTGCATCAAATCGCGGGCTCGGAGCAGTTATTTCGCATTCTTACCCGGACGGATCCCAGACAACGATAGCTCAATCAGCCAGGAATTCGACAAAAGCCGAGAGAAACCACAGTCAGATCGAAAAGGAAGCATTAGCCATAATATTGGGAGTGAAGATATTCCATAAGATTCCAAACGACCGCCGATTCAATATACTGGCTGATCACAAACCATTACTGGCTATCTTCTGCTCGAAGAATGGCATCACTGCCTATACAGCTGACCGTCTCCAACGCTGTGCGCTCACTCTGCTGAGCTGTACTTTTGAGATCAGCTACCAAACAACCGTTTCCATGGGCCAAGCGGATGCACTGTCATGCATCATGGACTCCCATCAGCAAGACGATGAAGACAAGGTCATAGTCTCCTTTGAGCTTGAACCGGATATCCAATTTCTTCTGAGTGACGCCTTACGTGATCTACAAGTGAGTTCAGAAGCTGTAGGAGCAGAAACGCTTCGTGATCCTGTACTCAAGATGGTCGCACAAATCAACTGGACGGATTAACCATGTACCTGTTCATCAGCCGAATCGCAGCAGTACTGTCAAAGGAGGCATGCAGTCTTTTTCCTTGATGGCTGCATTTTGTTCTCCGAACAAGTTGTCATCCCTAAGCCACTACAAAAGCTCATACTTAAGCAATTCCATACAGGACATCCTGAGGTCAACCGAATGAAGCGCTTGTCCGACGCTTTGTGTACTGACCATTCATGGACAGGCAACTGGAAGAAGTAGCTAAAAGTTACCACAAGTGCGCTGCGGCTTCAAGGTCAAAAGTAAAGACGGAACTACATTCATGGCCTAAACCAACGAGACCATGGGGCCGTGTCTATGTCGATTTCTCAAGACCCATCAAGGACCAAAGATTTCCCATTGCTGTCAACTCTTACAGCAAATGGCCTGAAGTGTTCCTGATGAACAAGAGATCGATTCAAGCAAGCGTAACAAAACCAAGACAAACCTTCGCCAGATTCGGTTGCCTAGAAACACTTGCAAGTAATAACGGCACACAGTTCACCTCAGCACTTTTCACGAAGTGCTGCAGACAGTGTGCCGCCCAACCCCTCCGCTCATCGCCAATCTACCCACAATCGAATGGCTAAGCAGCGAGGTTCGTGGATACTTTCAAGCGGGTGCTCTTCAAAGCAAAAGGGGGACGTATAGAAGAGGTGACTGATCAATTCCGCTTCCTATACTGATCAACACCAAACCCACAATAGCCAGGTGGCGTTTCGCCAGCACAGGCTATGATGAACAGCGAGCTGCTTACGTCATTTGATACCACGCGACCAAGCACATTGC